ACAGATATATTACAAACAGGAATATATACAGAGAAATAGAAAGTGTTAGTACGAACAATCAGGTTTAGTAGTACTTGTCTGAACGCGACTCTGTTTCGGACTGCCTCTGACTCGACTGACTGACTCGCTCTCTCTGACTGACTGACAGACTCCTGACGGACCTCACTTCAGACTTCAGACTGAACTTTAGACTTCAGACAGAACAGTATTTAGTCACCCACCCCACGAGGGTATCATGTGTCACAAGGCCGGTTTAACGTGGGATCTCCGAGCCTGTGGGCTCGGCCAAAAATATGCCCTTTGAACCCGTATAAACGGGTTCAGGGTCGGTTTATCTCCCCGAAGAGACTCCGCCTTCGGCGTAGCCTCGTTCATTTCCTCCCCCGCCCGAAGGCAGAGAGTTCAACCGATCATCCGATCAGCCGGTCGCCCGACTTCGGACTGAACTCTCTGCTTCCTCTTGAGGCGCAGTATTTATTACGTATGGAATAGTCCATTATGTTATTATGTGTAAGGTCCCATGACAATAAAAAAAAATAAGCAACATATTCTCCGCTACATATTCTTTAAATACTTTGACAAGATGCACACAGTGAATACCAAATGAATCGTTTTTTCCAGTGAATTCTAATCCATCCCTTTAGCTTTAAGTTCAAATGATTATTTTTTTTTTTTTGCGTAAAAAACTGATTATCAAAAATTCGAAATATCCCTGAGTTTAATATGAGTTTTCAATACTTATCTTACGCACTAGAGCCACCAAAACACAAGGGTTTACTAAGACTGAAAGAATTACAAAAGAAAGAAAAAGAGAAACATTATCCAGAAGCGAGAGCAATAGAAAAGTAATAAGGACAGTAGATAACGATTTCTATTGCATTTCCATTTTTTAAGATCGAAGTTGGCTGGAACGTATAAAACCGGAATAGAGTTGCATCAGCGAGAAGATCAAGTAAAGAAACTGTTAACCTATTCAACTGTGAATTAATGGGACCTTACCGCCAATCTAGTACTGCGCTTAAATTCATGAAGTCTGAGTACCACAGCGAAGAGATAACGGATTTGTAGAAAAGACATAGGGAAGCTGCGAGAAATTAAAGGAATACCGAGATGCCAGGTCATGGCCAATAATATTGCTGATTCTTCTTTGGATCTTATCAAGAATCTCTATTTATACAGCAAGAGCACTGGGTCATTTTTTGGCAGGAATATTCAAGACAAGGACGAATGGTAGACTTATAAATATGTGAGATTGTGGAGAGAAAAACTGTCTAGCAGAGAAGTTCTCAACCGGGGTGCACAAGAGCAATAGAGGTCCGTGTCATATTTCTGGACGCTCACAGGCAAAATATAACAATGGTATTTTGATAGTCCATGAAGAAAGACAACTCAGAATGTTTTTATTATCAAATTTTAAATTTAAGCTATACTGATATATATATATATATATATATATATATATATATATATATATATATATATATATCAGTATAGCCTAAATTTAAATATATATATATATATATATATATATATATATATATATATATATATTTGAACAAGCAGCATCAACCACAGGGATCTTATCGAATAAATATGCTTTTCTATTTTCTTCTGATCACACACTTACTATAAATTGTTTCATTAAAATTTTTAATCAGTGTGCACAAATAAATACTGCAGTGAATCCACTTAGCTGAAGAACATTGTAATACAAGATATTGGTCAATATTATTATCATTATTATTATTATTATTATTATTGTTGTTGTTGAATAATTTAAAAATAAAGCTTCATCTTACTTATTATAAAACGCAGATTGTGTCTGTGTGTGTGTCTGTACGTTTATATATTGGATCGGATTTCCTACATTTTTCAACCGATTTCAACAAAACTTCACAGGACTATGTAAAATTACCTTGCGGTGGTTCTGACAGCGCTAAAAATTGGGAAAACACAATTGTTTTTGCACGAAATCAATTTGAAAACACGATTAAGAGGCATCGCGAGAATGAAAGGGGGACAACTCATATCGAGTTATACTTATTATAAAACCCAGGTTCTTTGTGTGTGTGTGTTCGTTTATATATGGGATCGGATTTCCTACATTTTTCAACCGATTTCAACAAAACTTCACTTTTTTTTGGCGGGTAGTGTTTCTTATTGTCTTGCACACTTTTTTCTTATTTTTAAGAATGCTTTAAAAATTCCATTTACAAGACAATTGTTTATAATAAAATTCTATTCAATCGGTAGACTCATAACGATTGAAAACAATGTTTTCGTTTAAGTTTGACCAATTCGTAAAAAAGAAAAAAGAAAAAAAAAACTAATTAAGACATGCGTGTCCGTCAACCTTAAACAATAATCTTTGTCAATTTTATTTTTCAGTCTTTATGATGGTCGATAGTTGATCTATCTTTTACTGTTACATCCCCGGGCAACGCCGGGCTCTACTGCTAGTTATATAATATTTCATTGATTATTAAAACCTCAAAGTTTTTATTAGTGAAAAATAGATTATTGTTCAGTATCTGTCAATATTTCTGAGATGAGGTATTATTTATATTATTCGGGCTATCGTCCTCATCTTTGGTGCCATATTTATCACAACATTGTACACTCCGGCCTTCTTCAGGTGGCCACAAAAATCTTCTGAGCCGACCAAGCATAGAAATGAATACAATATGGGAACCAGTAATAAGGAGTGCCAGAGAAAAGCAATAATAATAACGAAAATTGGAATATGAGCTCCGGTAAAAAAGAAATGCAATGATAACAGCAAAAACTGTAATATGAACACTGGTAAAAAATGGTTGCTGAAGACATTAGGCTTATAAATCCCAGAAATTCATACACATATGTGCTTAAGGTCCCATGGCAGAGTGGAAAAGGCGTTAGGACATAAAGAGTCTTTCTGGTTAAGGTGGTGGAGAATTTGGGGAGGGGAATTAACAGGAGATAACTGATAATTGACATCCATTAGGCATGGCACGTGGAACTAGAACAGTCTATTCCAGGGAGCGAAATAAAAGGTTCAGTTCGACATTCCAACTAACGAAAGAAGGCCGGAGCGTACCACGGCCGAAACGTTGTGATAAATATGGCGTCAAAGATGAGGAAGATAGTCCGAATAACGTAAATAGTGTAGAATATTGTTGTCTTATGTTAAAGAGCAATTACTGGGTTCACCAAGAAAAGAAGAACGGAAAAGGGGGTCCATGAGTAAAAAAAAAATGTTTGCGAATCACTGGTCCCGTACAACAATGGACCAACGTAATGTAAGTTTATTATTAGTTAAGTCTAATATTAAGTTAATACAAGTTTAATATTAGTTTAATCTCGGCTGTGTCTTCCTTTTGCTGTAGAAAATTAAATCATTGCCATTGTAAGATCTGTTCGTCCAAAGTCCTTTAAATCAAAGTCACCATAAGGAGGATGAAGTATTTTACAGGATTATAATGAATTCGCCATCACCTCTCTTCGGCTATTCTCGATTTATCACTTCTCTTAAGAATTTTTTTTTTCACATCGAGGTTTTACACAAAAAGGCTGAACTAGGGCCATCGGCAAACTGACACGTTATTATTAGGTTGGTGCAAAAATAATGACGTAAGAATGTCGTTTTTTGACGTAGAAAAGTACGACATTATTACGTCATTATTTTTGCACCAACCTAATAGAGAGCTGACTTAAGTCCGCCCAAAAAGAAAAGAAAAAAGCAACACAGACAAAAAAGGAAAAAAAAAAAGAAGGAAAAAAAGTCAAACCAAAAACAAGAGAAAAACGAAGGAAACACTGACTGATAGAAAAAAATCATTACTTTTTATGGTTAAATTTATTTATTTATTCGGTCACACTAGCTCGGACATTGATGAGTCTATTACGCCAACCATCACGACCCTGCATCAATCTCGAAACGTCATTACGGTAGTATTCTGCATCCTGTATTACTTTTTCTCATATTTTTTTACACTCAGTAACACCCGGCGTCTCAGTGGAACAATTGCCTTATAAATCAATAAAAATGACTAAAAAAAAAAATTCCATATTCTTTACATTATTCGAGTAAATTTTCCTCATCTTTGTCGCCATATTTATCACAAGGTTTCGGCCGTTGCAAAAAAATGGCCTTCTTCAAATTGGTTGGAATGACAAACTGAACCCTTTATTTCGCTCACTGGGGTAGACTGTTCTAGTTCCAAGTGCCATGTTTGATGGATGTCAGTTATCAGTTATCTCCTGTTAATTTTCCCTCTGAAAGTTCTCCACTGCCTTAACCGGGTATTGAACTCACACTCTTTTGGTCCTGTCACTGGATCTAACCAACGCCTTTATCCACTGTGAACAGTGACAGGACCCAAAAAATGTGGAATTATGAATCCGATCTGCCAATCGAGTGGTACTTTCGAATTCGTGAAATAGAGTTCACAACAAGGAAAAATTTTGAGACCGAACTGCCAATCGAGTGGGACGCTCGAATTCGTGAATTAGAGGTACCAAAGCGGGAAACACATCGGAATAATTGATATGAAAGAAGTAAACAGGGAAGTTATATTACGCAGCTGAGGGTGGATTGACTGAATCCGAGATGCCAGGGCAGGATTTATAGCATCGCAGATTCTTCTTTTGAGTTTGTCACAAGTCTCTAGATACGCCGCAGAAACCTCGCAGCATTAAACCAATTTGGGCCTGATCTCAATCTTGTAACGATAGAAACATTTTTTTTAGAAAAAATCATTTTACTGAAAATAGACTATGTATAATTTCAGTGCTATCCATAATTCTTTCAGGGAACATGAGCATGAAAAATGGGCCCCATATATCCACTGAAAAAAAAGCAGCCATTTTGGGATATTTTGTTGGGTTTTGTAAAAGATCATAAGAACAGTAAAATGTAACCAATCAATAACTCTATTGCGGTTTCGTCTTACGCTCTCTCTTTCTCTCCTACTGGTTTTTATCACTTAGATTCCAGTCTTACTTTTCGATTTCTGCTTAAGTTACATAGACTGCATATTTCTTCACGGCGCCCACCACGCTTTTTACCTCCTATCTTGACTTCTGGCGTGAAAGGAATGGAAGTCCGAGTGCCGGAAGGTGCCGGAAGGTGCCGAAGGACTCTTATCAGTGGTGTCCGTTTTACGTTCGCCTCATTAGCTCCATCCCGAAACATCGAAGATTAATGATCGACCTCGTGAAGAAAAATAGCCGCTACTGCGCATGCTCAAATAAAATTCGCTAGCAGACGACTCCGACAACAGCTCGCAAAGGAACATTGAAACAAAAAAAAATAAGATAAAAAAATATCCCACCGAAATTTAAAGTAGATAAGGAAACCTACACATGAAACAAAAATGCGAGACGCTGTCTAAGCCAGGGAAATTAACTGAGCTATCGAAATAAAACACTCATCTTAATTGTGTACCTTGTAACTAAGGAACAAATATATGCGTACATACGAGCGTACACGAGTTTATTTCCGTATCTTGGGTCAAATTTCTGTTGTAATTTTAAAACGCATTTATTTTACTGAGAGCAAAATGACTCCTCTCTGCGTGCGTGTGATTTAACGGCTGAGAAAACTAAGAGCTAATCTTCAGTTTTCACACGCAACTGAAATTTAAAATGTCTTATAAAACTGCTTTTCTCGTGGGCGTCCGTCTCGAGAGTCCATGCATCTGCGCCCGAAGCGGTTTATCTCACATCTGCAGATTACGCAGCATCTGTTACGGCTGTACAGGCCCACACGGAAGTGACAGTGTCGATTGCAACGAATGCAGGTGGAAATGTTCTTCTCCCATGTCAACGTGTTGTTTTTCCGACGAGTAGATTAGATTTTTTTTTTTTTTAGTAAAACTACAAGTAATAAATTTTGAAAAAAAAAAAAAGAAAGTATTTTCAGTAAGATATTTTTAGGAAAAAAAATATTACCAGCAAAACATTTTTGAAAATAAAAATACTATCAACAAAACATTTTTGAGAAAAAAAAATTTAACAGCAAAATATTTTGGAAAAAAAGTATTACCGACAATACATTTGACTATCGACAAATACACTCTTAACAAAAATACGTCAATGAAACTAGACCTACTAATAGATTTCTTACAAAGAATACATATTCTATTCATACGAACCTATCCTAAAAATCTTGTCGACATTAAATAACCCATTGAGATTGATATGACGTAAAAGAAAATAAACCAAATCAAAGAATACATGTTCTATTCATACGAACCTATCCTAAAAATCTTGTCGACATTAAATAACCCATTGAGATTGATATGACGTAAAAGAAAATAAACCAAATCAAAGAATACATATTCTATTCATACGAACCTATCCTAAAAATCTTGTCGACATTAAATAACCCATTGAGATTGATATGACGTAAAAACAAAAATAAACCAAATCAAAAAATAAAAATATGTTCTATTCATACGAACCTATCCTAAAAATCTTGTTTAATTAAATAACCCATTGAGGTTGATATGACGTAAAAGAAAATAAACCAAATCAAAGAATACATATTCTATTCATACGAACCTATCCTAAAAATCTTGTCGGCATTAAATAACCCAATGAGTTTGATATGCCGTAAAAGAAAATAAACCAACTCAAAGAATACATGTTCTATTCATACGAACCTATCCTAAAAATCTTGTCGGAATTAAATAACCCATTGATGTGTTGATATACCGTAAAACAAAATAAAGTCAACCAAACACTCGACCAAAAAAACACCTTACAAAAATACGTTATGGATTCCTGGTCTACAAACTAATTTCTTCAAAAGAATATAGGTTTTATCCTAAAAATCTTGTCGGTATTAAATAACCCATTGAGGTTGACACGCTGTAAAACAAAATAAACCAAACCAAACCTAAAAAGAATACAATGAATACACCTCTACTCCTGTTCAAAAGAACGGTAAGGAATGTGAACTAGACAATGGGTGAACCTATCTCCTCATATTAAATTGTTATATGTATTTATTTTTCTCATTATCTGCATAGCTATCTGTGTATATTATCTTTCATATGTACAGGGTTATTGAAATGTAACTCCCCATTTTGCAATACTTATAATTTATTATATATATATATTGCTCGGAATCAATTGCTCGACAGTAAATTGCTCGGAATCAATTGCTCCAAAGGCAGTTTGCTCGAAATTTGTGATTAAAAAAAATAAAACTACATTCTTTCTAATATTTCCTATAAGATAAAAAAAATACAAATTTATTGTTGTTAACTAAACAGTTAAAATTAAAGAACGAGTACTTTTATATAGCAGGTCTTATTTTTATTTCTCGAAAGGCAGTTTGCTCAAAAACCTGTGGTTAAAAAGAAATAAAACACGTGGTAAGCATTTCCTTTCTTTGTACATTTCAAGTAAATCTTATTGTTCACTGTTTTGTCCTTAATATATAGATATATCCATCCAACCACACCGTCGTCTTTCCTTTTTCGCTCTCAACAAAAGTTATGGCCATCACTAGGGTTTGAGATCTCCCAAATTACTAAAATAGAAAACAAATATAGAGGAAAAAAAATCAGGACTTTAGTAGTCCTGATTTTTTTAAGCTCCTTTTATATCGGCGCATGGTGCTTCGAGCTTCGAAATTACTTTGAGCAATCTGCCTTTCGACCAATTGATAGTTCGAGAAATTATTTTTCGAGCAACTGAATTCGAGGAATTTACCTAGATCCATAAAATAGGGACTTACTTTTCAGGCCCACTGTATGTACCGGGTATCCCAAATAGTCCAAATCGTGTAACAGGACCAATTGTCCAATTGTTAGATTAAACTCTGAACCGTTGCATCTTAGAAATGATTAAAGATATCTTACTGGAATTCCTTATTGGACTCTACTTTGAGCAATAAGAATGTAAAATTACTCTCGAAGCTTAACAGAAGAATCGTGAAGAATCGATCATAGACATAAATGACATTAATTAATCATAGCTAAGGATCGGAAGCTCATGAAGTATTGAAATAAAATTCATATATATATATATATATATATATATATATATATATATATAATTTCAGGGTCATTTTCCAACATTCAATATTATCTACGCCCTCTCTAAACCTCTAACTTTCTGTCCTGGAGTAACAAAAATGTGACACGTTTCATGTACGATTTCATTTTTAAGTCTTTTTTTCACTGGGTTTGTACTGTCATAGTTGAAACTTTTCTCACGTAGCAAACATCTTATGAATTGAGTTTGATCTTTACTAATTGATCTCTTAGTTGAAATGATGATCCCCCTCTTGCTGTTGTGGCCTCCTGATCAAGTTTTCCTCTCTACTGTTTCCTCTTTTTGTTCACCATTCCCTTGATGGTTCTTGAATGGACTTTGAAGATGTAAGCCAGAGTCTGAATACTGATACGATTACTAAAAGCCTCTCACCATTGCTCAGTTGGGGAGACAGTGACGCTGATACAAAATACTTTTAACCCGTTCTCTTTCTAGCTGAATAACTCAAAGAGGTTTTCAGTAAGTTTTACGACAAATGTCTAAAACTTGTTATCTGATAACCTGGAAAAAATAACTCAATTAGTTTTGTGTTTTTTTTTAGATATTAAATATTCTGTGCGTTGGAAAATTATGCTGCAACACGATTTGATAGATATAAAATAAGTTCAGATAAGTAAGAAGATATGATACAATACATATATATATATATATATATATATATATATATATATATATATATATATATATATATAAAAAATAAAATAGGCAATATATCAATTCTTTTGTCTATCTATCTATCTCTCTCTATATATATATATATCTCTCAACACTGTGTGTGTGTGTGTCTCTGTATTGTTTTTATTATTTAGGATTTGATAATTATAATTAAAAATTCATCGAGTCCGATTTGACAAATCTCTTCGTCACCGAACAGTTGGTAATGACGTTTGAGAATTTAACGTAACTGTCCGGTTTTAATTCTCGGTAATGGATGCAAACACCGCTGATGAGTCCAAAATATAAACATAAACGGCTGTTGCATTCTGTTGAGGTTTCTTCTAGAACTTGATGAATTACTTCATTATATATATATATATATATATGAAAATTTTTCCTATGAAAAATGAATTATAAAATTTGTGTTCCTTCTAATCATAAACTCATATACATTCAACTAAATATGTTAGCCCTGTCACTGATATTGAACGCTTTCCAATAAGCACCGCACATATATATATGTCTATATATATATATATATATATATATATATATATGTATGTAGATCGATAATGTGAATAATGCAGATATACAATTTTTCTTTCTATCTGTATTATTCTTTTGTCTATCTATCTATCTATCTATAACTCTATCTATCTATCTATCTATCTATTCTCCATTATTATTAATATCTATTTATCTATCTATCTATCATCTATCTATCTAGATTTTCTTTATCATCGTTCATCTATCTATCTATCTATCTATCTATCTATCTATCTATCTAACAAATCTATTCTCATCTATCTATCTCAGTCTTTTTCGTCTATCTATCTCAGTCTTTTCTTGTCTATCTAGTCTTAGGTTATCTATCTATTCTATCTATCTATCTATCTATCTATCTATCTATCTATCTATCTATCTTTTTTTTTCATCAATCTATTCTATCTATCTATCTATGAAATCTATTTATCTATCTATTTTAAACTTTTCTCATCTATGTATCTATCTATCTAAATTTATCTATCGATCTATGTCATATCTTTTGATCTATCTATCTCAATCTTTTCTCATCTATCTATCTTTCTATCTATTGTATCTTATCTATCTATCAATCTATCTCAGTAATCTTTTCTCGTCTATCTATCTATCTATCTATCTATCTATCTATCTATCTTAGAAAAAGGAATCTCATCTATGTATCTATCTATCTATCTATCCCAGTCTTTTCAATCTATCTATCTATTTGTCTATCGATCTATCTCAATTTCTTCTTCATCTATCTATTATTCTCTATCTATCTATTTTATCTATCTATCTTATCTATCTATCTATTATCTATCTCAATCAATTTTTCTCATCTATCTATCTATTTATTATCTATCTTCATAAATTTTCATCTATCTATCTATCTATTTATATTTATTTTATCTATCTATCTATCTATCTATCTATCTATCTATCCTTCCTTCCTTTTTAGGCTAAACTTTTTTTTTTTTTCCCGACCTTTTTTATTGCCATTCAAGTCATCTATTTCTTTTCATGAATTATCGATTGTTTATATAATTTGTTGTCTTACATGAAAAAAATCTTCCTTGTCCTTTTTTTCCCAATATCTGGATGTGATAAGACTTAAAAATCTTCTGGAAAAATTTCACGGCTGTCATAAAATAAAATTCGCATCCCTTTTATTATTATTATTATTATTATTATTATTATTATTATTATTATTCCTTTAATCCTTATAACAATAAATAATAATTTAATTTGTCAGTCATGACTTTAAATCTGTTTTCCATTTATCGTGTTCCACTTCTTCATTTGTCTTTCTCCGTTTCCTCATTGGCTCTTCGCTTGTTAACAGTAGCAGCTACAAAAACTGTTGTAGAAATAATGAGGATAGTTATTACTCGTAGATAAATTCGGAATATATCTTGCTATATCAAATTATCTCTATTAAAATAATCCGTTAACAGCAGATTTGGCCTCATATATTCAGACAGCTCTTTACTATTTCTCATTTCCAGAAAGAAACAAGAACTAAAAACCTGTCTTCTTATCCGCTATTAACATATATATATATATATATATTCTTTTTTGGTAGGTGGGTTCTCCTTTCCGCTTATCAAGTTTTGGCCCCGTACATTAAGATCACTTTTCACTTTTTGTTTCCCCCTCTGTTAAGATAGAAGCAACAAGAAGCAAGGAACACAGACCAAAAAAAAAAACCCCAACAAAATGGATATTTAATATCCGTCATTAACGAGATCGTGAAGTAGAGAATTGTATGTAGAATTCGCCCGCTTCTATCGTTCTTATATAATCGAACCGAGCGATCAGAAACATTCCATATCGACCTCTCTGAAAGAAATTCGATTCCCTTTTTTTTTTTCTAAGTAAAGAATATTCGGAGAAACGAAGGACGTCTGAAATTCCAAATTGGCAACAATTTTAAGAATTTTTTTTTTTTCCTTATTCTTTCGGAAACTATGCACGATTTGTGTACAAAAAAGTTTCATCATTTATTAAAATATTCCAAAATTTTCCCCCATCCCATATTGTCAATCTATATTTTCCGTTAAAGATCTGAAATAAAAAATGGTATAATATCTAACTAAATTGAGATAATATTTTAACCTTCATACGCCGAAAACAATATCGTTTAAATATTTGCTTCGCTAACGCTCACCCAAAAAATTTTAAGTCGAATTCAGAAATTGGATTGGTGACAACCTTTCTTTAAATATTTTTAATTAGTCCGATGAAATTAATCTGGAAAGCGAAATATATATTAAATAATTATTCCGTTTTAAATTTTGAACCCCAACCTTACCTCTGACTTGACATTTTTGTGATTGTAATAAATTAATCATATTGATGCAAAAACGATTAACACCTTACGCCCTTTTTTATTTTAAACAATTGCTTTAGCCGTTACCATAAAATTTTCATTTCAATAATGAATAAAAATATAAAAAAACGCGTAAATTTCAGAAATAAGTTATTCAAAAAAAAAATTTCGCTTGAAGATGGAACAGAGCTTTTAGTTTTTTATTTTTTAATTCAAATAATTCTATTGAAACTTTGGCTTTGTTTTTTTTTTTGGATGTCTTATGTAGCGTGTTGGAATCATATTTTTTAATAAATATATAATTATATTTATGGTCTACTTTTATATTGAGCACTATTTTTTTAAATAATAAATATATTAATACTAAAGAACTTTTGGATTATTTACTTAACGAGTTCTTTCTGAATTTTCTATATATTTTTCACACACACACACACAGACACACACACACACATATATATATATATATATATATATATATATATATATATATATTCATTCATGTTTCATTATAATATATTAAAAATACACGGACATGGCAATAATGATTGTTGTTTTTGTTTGATGGAAGATTTCAAAATGGACGACAAACTCGTGCATACGAGATGCTGGAAAAAATCAAATTCGCACCGTGGCTCATTTGCACAACATTACATGATCACGACGAAAGTGTTAAGTATGGGAAGCCGTTGATATAAACCAATGGATTCTATTATATAGGGATATAATATATTGTAATGTTATTGTCATCTTTGAAGATGGTTTATGTAAGCTGAAAGCTTGATAAGATTAAAAAAAAACTTTTATCAATATGGTGATTTTCTTTTTCTTTCAATGATAACTTTGTTAAGGATTAATCAGACGATATGAAAAAAATTTGCATAAAAACAAATGGATTACTTGTTTATATTATTTAATGAAATATGCATTAATGAAAAATGCTGGAATAAAGAGAAACATGATTTATATATATATATATACATATATATATATGTTAAAAATTAAATTAAAAAACGGGCAACGTTAATCGTTCATAGAATTATAGTTTATTTTCCTAGAAGCAGGATTTGGAAATGTGATCCACTAAACCAGGACGAAAGTCCTGTTCCTGGGGAAATAAATTATAATCCGATGAAACCTTAAGTTTGTCTGTTCCTTAATTTAACTAATATTTGCTCTGTTTTTTCATTGAACTCTCTGGATTGCATCCTCCTTGGGATCATCCATATGGATTAGTAAATATATATATATATATATATATTAAGAAATGGACAAAGTCCGACAATTTATTTATTAAAGACATTTTTATTTTTAACGTTCTTTTTATAGATACAAGTATTTAAGTAAATGCTCTCTTTATAATAAACAGTATTAAATAACAATTACCGGCCTGAATGTCCGAGAAATTTTCATAGAAAATATTTGTCCTTTGACAGGATTCGAACCTGCATCCTATACGGAACCGTCATTTACTCTGACGTGCCTTAACCGCTCGGCTACAAAGGATCGTTCGGTAGGCAAGGTTGAATTTACTGCTTATAAACTTCAATCTTCCATGAATCTCGTACATTCATAACTGCTCATGGCGTATCAAAAGTAAACAAATGACGTCATACAAGAAACAGGGCATTTACTTAAATACTTGTATGTATAAAAAGAATTTTAAACATAAAAATGTCTATAATAAATTGTCGGACATTGTCCAATTCTTAATATATATATATATATTAAGAAATGGACAAAGTCCGACAATTTATTTATTAAAGACATTTAAATATTTTGTACACAATTTTATTTATTTTTGGACAATAATACTTTTTTACTGGTAGGTTTTCCGTCAACGTGGCATGAACTATATTGTTCAATAATTACAGGAATGTCACACTTATTATCCGAAAGTTGCACGTTGGATCAGTTATTTTAATTTCAATTAAAAGGTGCAATTATAATTTATAAATTCATGAATCATTCATACAAAAAACATATATATATATATATATATATATATATATATATATATATATATATACCAACTCCACGATATCGCCTCTCTCGCCAATCTCTCTTGGTGTCACGCTGACCACTGATCTAACGTAGGACAACTACATTGAATCTATAGCTTCATCTGCCGCAAGGATAATTGGTTCTCTGTGCCGCGCCAGAACGTACTTCTCGCCGGAGTCGATCCTTCAAATCTACAATTCAACCATTCGTCCTTGCATAGAATACTGCTACCATATATGGTCTGATGTTCCCGCTGTTCATCTCGACGTCCTAGACAAAATCGGATATGCAAAGTGATTGGTCCTCATCTGGCATCCCCACCTCTGCAAACGCTATCTCAAAGACGGTCTGTGGCTTCCCTCTGCCTTTTCTATAAGAACTTTCATGAAACTGTTCGGATGAGCCACTTTCACTGGTTCCTAAACTGCATGAATTTAAGCGTGCTACTAGGATAGCGTCCCAGTCCCATCCTTTCACTGTCGAAACGATTAAATGTAGCCATCTCTTCTATTACATCAACTTATATCTTGCACCCCCTGAGAGTAGAGCTCGCTTTCTATCCCTGATAGCTAAACTCTTCAAATATTCAAGTGTAATGTCAATCGACATCTTCTGATGCCTTGATCTTGATCCCTGTCCTTCTCTTTATCCTTTTCCTAAACACTCCTTTTTACTCTTACTCTCACTCTATGTAACCCCCTTGTTGCACTCTCGCCTTGCTTGGGAGTGATTTGCTTCAAAAAATTCGTCATATCGTTCGGTTCTTGTATTAATAATGCTTATAAAATAGAATTTATTGTATTTTTCTTTTATTCCGATTCCTTTTAAAGGTAAACTCTACGTTTCCTTCTGGCTACAGTCTGCTTGTGACGAAACGTTGACTTCCAATGTGTATAATCGTATGATTTTTCTTATCCGACTGATGGCCACTAACCATGTTTAGGTGATTGCCAACAAACAAACAAATAAACACTATAAATTATGAACGGTCTTCTGAGAACAGCCCCGGAAAAGAAAAAAGAAAAATGAATTTGTAAATCTGACTATAAGAACGGGGGAAAAAAATACCCCCCAAAAATAAGAGGTGAAATGAGAGGTTCCTTTTCTGGACAGCGTTCAATAAACTACATTTGCGCAGTTGTCTACCCTCTGGTATTTTGCATTGCCACTAGGTGGCGATTTTCATTTTTGTTTAAACAGTTTTAACGTTATTTGGAGGCCATTGTCCTTCTTTACACATATGTCGGGAAGACTGAGTAGTGTTGTGTCGAAACACACACACACAAACATATACACACACACAAAAATATATTCTATACAATCCCATATATATATATATATATATATATATATATATATATATATATATATATATTAAAAGACATTTTTTATGTTTAACGTTGTTATTTTATAGATACAAGTATTTAAGCAAATGCTCTGTTTATGATAAACAGTATTAAATAACATTTACCGGCCTGAATGTCCGAAAAATTTTCATAGAAAATATTCGTTCTTTGACAGGATTCGAACCTGCATCCTATACGGAACCGTCATAGAGGTAAGGCACGTAAGGTTTCTTCCCCCAGAACAAAGCCACGGATTGTACACGCCCAATTAGAGACGTCACGAAGGAGGGAGGGAAGATACCGACCAGAGTCTCATTGGCCGAGGACAGTCACATGATACATGAGGGAGGAGGAGACACCCGACCAGAGTCTCATTGGCCGA